GGGTCTTGCTGCGAATGGAAGCCTCTAGACTCCCGCGCTCCAGGTGTTTCACACTCACCGCAGTGCAGAGGAAAGAGCCCTGTGCTTCTGGAGCCTTGGGTGCTAGCCTTGGGTAATTAGCAGTTTGACCTTGGGCGAAGCAGTTCGTCTCTCTGGGCTTCAGTTTCCTCTTCTATAGAACGGGGGGCTGGAGTAGACTATCTGTAAGCTCCCTTCCAGAGCTAATGTCCTGCAGTTTAAAAACAAACCACCTTTCTCCGGATTTCCTTCATACGTCTTCTGTGAGTCCCTCTGCAGTCCTTCCCATCCTGTCGTCTGAAATGAAGAATAGCGAAGCTGCCTCTCCTGGCACCAGGGTGATGAGTGCGCAGTGACGTGGAAGTGGCTTCTAAAGGTGTCACCTAGATGGCGATTTTTCAAATTTCTCTTTTGGATTCTCCCTAGCACTTGTTACTCTAAACTGCAGTCATTTAGCATACTCAGATCTCAACTGCTCCTTCCCAGCCCTTGCCCACCCTATTCCTACTCACATCCCCCTACCATTGCTGGCTTTCTTCTCACCTCCCAAACTGACTTTCCTTACCTTCATCCATAGGGATCCTCTCGGGAGCTACTGCTAACAAGGCTTCCCAAAACAGGACCAGAGCCCTGCAAAGCCACAGCTCATCAGAGTGCAAGGAGGAGCCTGAGCCCCTGTCACCTGAGCTGGAATACATTCCCAGAAAGAGGGCCAAGAACCCCATGAAAGCTGTGGGACTAGCCTGGTGAGTTTTAACTACTCTTTTATGTCCAGGGGAGGGGAGGGCAGAGCCTGGAAACCTGTATTCTTCAGGTGGTGAGCTGAATCTCTAAGGTTGTGAAGACAGAATTGCTGGGTTCCCCAAATGGAATCTCCAAGGAGTGGGGCAAGGGAGGTAGGGAAGTGTGTGGAACTGGGTTTTTTTTTTTTTTTTTTTTCAGAGTAATCTGAGCTGATCTAAGATTTGAGTCCCTGGCATCATCCTCCATTTTGGGAGCTTAGGATGAGATCCAAGTACCAGTAATTAGATAATTGAAATCATGTAAGATGGATTATATTAATTGGATAGTAGCTACATATTGTTCTATATCTTATTTGACTCTGATTCTGACCCTAATACATACTGATGATCAATATTTAAGGGAAAGGAGGGGAGAGTAATATTTTTCAGCACACCTGAGTGTAACAGTACTTTGCCATGAAATGTGTTAGGCTTTTGAAGATAAATATTATGCGCTCATTCCAGGGAAGGGAACTAAGACTTAGGGCTGGGATTTCTCTCCAGGTGTTGAGACTCTGTGTTCTTTGTCCAACACCAAAGCACCCACTTAGTAGCAATTACTCAGGTTAAGAAAGGGAGGACTGGGGTTTGTAGTTCAGTGATAGAGGATGTGTTTAGCATGCGTAAAATGCTATGTTTACTCCTCAGGGGATGGGAGGGGGGAGGGTGGGAGGAGGAAGAGAGGAGGAAGAGGAGGAGTTGAATATAGGAAGGGATGTAGGGCAATTTAAGCATTGGAGAACTTTGGTCACACTCCAAAGGAAAACAGCTAGGCTGTTTAAAGACTCAGGCCAGGCCATTGGGGAAAAGGAGTAAACAGGTAGGCAGAGACTGGACCACACGGAGCTTTTTGTGCTATGCCTGGAAGTTTGGACTGACTAGAAAGGATGGAGAGTTGTTATGGAGTCTTAAGCAGGACAGCAGCAGTATCTATGTGGGTTCCTCTAGCAGCCAGTGTGGAGGACAAGTATACACAAAGAGATATCCTGCGTTTGGTAAAGCTGGATTAACTTCCCCCAACAACTCTGACTTAGGGTTTAGCTCCTGCCCAAATCCCGTGCACATCTCCCCACCCCTAGGGCCATCGGCTTCCCCTGTGGTATCCTCCTCTTCATCTTCACCAAGCGGGAAGTGGACAAGAACCGTTTGAAGCAAATGAAGGCTCGGCAGAACATGAGGGCGTCCAACACGGGCGAGTATGAGAGCCAGAGGTTCAGGGCCTCCCAGTATTCCACAGCCCCTGAAGTTACATCTGGGGCTCAGGCCTGAGAAGCACTGCAACTCTCCCCTAGGCTATTTTGACTGTGAAGTCCTGGTTGGCCAACTCTGGTCATTGCTTTTGAGGTCCACCAGAGGGCGTGTGAAGCCCAGGCTATTGCCATCTCCTGCCTATCCCATAACAGGAGCCCACTAAAGGCAAATAAAGTTTTGTTTTGTTTTTGTTTTGTTTGGTTGGTTTTGGGTTTTTGTTTTGTCGGTCATGGGGCTTGAACTCGGCTTGGGCGCTGTCCCTCAGCTCTTCAGCTCAAGGCGAGTGCTCTACCGCTTGAGTCACAGTGCCACTTCCGGTTTTCTAGTGGGTTTTTTTGGAGATAAGAGTCTCACAGACTTTCCTGCCTGGGTTGGCTTTGAACCTCAATCTTCAGATCTCAGCCTCCTGACTAGCTAGGATTACAGGCATGAGCCACCAGCGCCTGGCTAAATAAAGTTTTTGAGTGTTGGAAAGGAAGTAGGTCTGGGTTCCTGAGTCCCCTGGGAGAGGGAGGAGCAGACAGTGGGGCTGGTTACTCCCTTGTGTTCCCTCTCAGAAAAGTTGTGTTCCTGGCAGGTGTAGGGGCAACCACAGATTTAAGTGAAACAAGCCTAGGCCAAGCCCTGGGGACCAAGCCCTCAGAATTCCCAGCCAAAAGGGTGGAGACCCACTCAGCTCCAGATAATAAAGAGAATCAAAGGCAGCACTCAGGGTGCGGAGACAAAAACACTACTCTTAGCCCAGTCCAGATGACTCAGCTTCTCTGGACTCAGTTTCCTCATTTCTGAGAGATAGTCATGAAGATTTTTTTTGGTATGCAAAACACCAGTATTGGATCTTGAACTCAGGGCCTCATGTCCTCCCTTTTATGCAAGGCTTGCACTTTACTATTTCCAACTTTTTACTGGCTAATTGGAGAGATCTCCTGATTTCATCTGGCTGGCTTCTTGAGCCTCAATCCTCAGATCTTAGCCTCCTGAAAAGCTAGAATTACAGGCATGAGACACAAGCACCTGGCTTGGACTGTAATTCCATGTGTGTGCACGTGCACCAGTCCAGGGACTTGAACTCAGGGTCTGGACACTGTCCATTGAGCTTTTTTGCCCAAAGTTAACACTCTACTATATAAAGCCATAGCTCCAGTCCCAGCTTTTTTGCTGGTTAGAGACAAGAGTCTCACAGACTTTCCTGCCTGGGCTGGCTTCAAACCATGATCATCAGATCTTAAGCCTCCTGAGTAGCTAGGATTACAGGCATGAGACACCAGCTAGAGTGTTGTTTTGTTTTGTTTTTGTTTTTGCTAGTCCTAGGGCTTGAACTCAGCATCTGGGCACTGCCTTTGAGCTAATTTTGCTCAACGCTAGCACTCTACCACTTGAGTGATAGCACCACTTCCGGCTTTTTCTGTTTATGCAGTATTGAGGAATCGAATCCAGGGTTTCGTGTATGCTAGGCAAGCACTCTACCACTAAGCCACACTCCCCACCCCAGCTAGAGATTATTGAGAGAGCTTCTAAAGGGGGGTTCCCCACCCCATCTTCAAAACATGGCTTTGTGAGAACAGTTACTAGCTCTCGAGAGTTTTTGTGAAGGATCCATGCATAACACACAAAAAATGATCAAGTGGAACGAAGTCTCTTATGAGTCCTATACTACAGCCAGCTCTACAGCCTCTGCATAGCCATCACAAGAAGTACTGCAATATAGTGGGCTTAGTTACCTTGGATAGGTTCAGGAGACAGGGCCAGAGTGCAAAGGAAAGATGCAGTAGTGGATGCAGTGGGCAGAGCCAGACATAGACTCCCAGAGCCACCACCATCCAATAAAGAAAACCAGAGCCACACTGGGTTTAACTTCTAAACACAGGACTATATTTCGAATTGATACCTCTTCATGTGATATATTTAGGATCAACTACTCAATAGAGAAGTTATAATGATATCCTTGTACTGATGTCCCCAACCTCCATCCCAGCTTCAGGCACTTGTATTACGAAGAAAGCAGTGGCTGGTGGCAGTCAGGGCTCCAGTCTAAAACCCTCCAGCAGGAGGTCAGACCAGATGGAGAAAGGACATCACTCTCCACCCGGGACCCTCCCTGGGTGAGCAGAGGAAAGGACACACAGTCTCCTTGGGTACCATAGCCGGCTTCAGTATTTCTCAGACCAGTGGACCCTAAGGCATTTCCCCTGTTCCCACTATGGCTCCTCACCCTGCTTCCCAGTCACGCTTGAGACCTTACAAACCAGTTTTGCAGACCTTCGGCCTCCCTCCCCACTTCTCCTCTGAGCAACTGTGTGGAGAAAGGCTCCTGTGACAAAAGATCTCAGCAGCCCTCAAGTAGGTTTGAAGAACAGGATCTAGATGGCTCCAGTGGCTGTTATCTGCCACCATCCAAGCCTGAAAGAAGCCCAGGATAGATATTGCTCTGGATTGGGCCCTATGGTCTACTTTGCTTTCTCTCTTCCCCCACCCCTAATCTAGATAAACAATATATACATGTTACTGAAACATGAAGTTGGAGTAGAGGCTCTGGGTGCAGAGCTCTTCTATCATCCAGAGCTAAGAGGTGCCAAGCCTAGGGAGTGCGGGGTAGAGTCCTATGAGTCCAGGTGCTGGTGACACGGCTATATGGCTTTTGGGGGTTTAGGAGCGAACAGTTCTGGCTACCTGGCCTAGGATCCTGTGGCAGAGGAGGGAGATGAATCTCTTCATCTTGAAGGCCCTTCCATGTTCATATTCCCTTTTGACAATAAAAGAAGCTCCTTTCACACATACACACAACCGTAGCTGCTAAGAGTTATGTGGAAGGCAGAGACAAAACTTCAGCCTAGTCCTTGCCTGGCTACCAAGGGCAAGAGTTCTCAGCAACTTGAGCCCCTCAGGTTCCCATACATCCACAGCTAGAGGCCACCCGTCCCTAGGACAGAAAGAAAACTGGACATATTACGTGAGGGTAAGAAGAGGCCTGAGGCCCAGAACCAAGGCCCAGGGCCTGGCCCTCCAGGGAAGGGAAAGGCCAGGGTGTGTGAAATGGGGTGCTTCAGTTGCGATCCCCCAAGAGCTGCAACACAAAGGTGAAGATGTAGACGATGTCTGTGTAGATCTGCAAGGCACCCGTGATGTAGTCTTCCGGGCTGATGGTATGCTTCCGGTTCCCCAGGACCAGCTGTGTGTCGTAAGCCAGAAACTGCAGAGACAGGGACAGAAGTGAGTACCCAGTGTCCCGGGGTCCAGAGCTTATTTCTGGTCAGCAGAGTTGTCTTGAGAGCCTGTGTACCATGCAGCATGCATGGACCAGTGTGACACAGGGCTCTGCCCTCAAGCAATTCACTGTCTAGAGAGGATAGACACTCAGCTGTCTCTGAATACAGCCTGTCAAACATGCTAACAGCAAGCAGACAGTGGAATCCTAGAAAATCACTGGACTCCTTTTGACAGTGGGAAAGGGAACCACCCATTCCTGTCTCTCAAGCCACCTAATTCCATCCCTGTCCCCTCCCAAGCTCCCGGAGGACCCAGGGACTTACCAGGGTGAAACAAATGGCCCCCAAAGCAGCATAGAGCATGTGGAGCCAGTAAATCTGGGGAAGAAGGACACGGGTTAGTGTTAGAAATCTGAGCAAAGACAACCAAGGCAGACCCTTGAGACCCATTGAGACTTGGGATTTGGGCATGAGTGGGGAGTTTGAGGAAGCTAGCTGTCCAGGAGCCCAGATCATGCCTTTTTAGGTCCTGGGAGAAATTAAGAATGGTGATATATGTGGCAGAAAAAGCAGAGGGCATCTTACAATGGCCATATAAAACCAGCATAGCATCTTTTAGCCAAACCAATCTTCAGAGCTAGTCAAGGTACAGGCAGCATCTGAGTTACAGCCCTAGTAATGGTGAGCACTCAGTAGACCAGGTAGAGCAGCCTCCTGGTTCCTAAAACCCATCCTGGGAGGGACAGGCTGAAGAAGAGGGGCTCTCTCTCCCCGTGGTCAGGACCCATGCTCTCCCTCAGGTGACGAGAATCCAAGAAGGACCCAGAGTGAAGGATTCCAGAAGTCCCTTTCATCTAGGCCCATTTCTTCAGTCCTTTTGTTGGCTTTCCCACTGTCTCCCAGAACAGATGGTGGTCTAAGCTATCAGACAGCTAACCCACTGCATAGGAACTCAGAGCCACTGTCTAGGGTTCCAGGTGCCATGGCTCCCAGGGCAACCTGTCTCCAAAGAAAAATGAATTATACCGTAACTGAAAAAGACAGCACCTTTGCTGGCCAGTGGAGAGGTTCTGGAGGTCAGAGCCTGCCTAGGGGCCAGGGGCCAGGAGGGGCCCTGCTGTACACAGCAAATCTGCATTGAGCACTGGGCCCACAGATCCCATTCCTCTTGGGACTCACATATTTGAAGTACAGCACAATGCTGGTGACAATCCCAGTCACCATCAGCACAATTCCCAGGACACAGAAGAGGCCTGTACAGGAGGTGAAGTCCACCTACAGGAAGGCAGAAAGAGGTACCATCAGATGACTACCATAACAGCCACACTGGCCCTGCCCCCTGCTGGGGGCCCCATGCTGACTCCTGACCACGACCATGGCATGCAGAGGACAGACACACAAAACAGCTGTGTACATGCAGGTGGAGTGGTGGGGAGGGAATTAGGTCTGTAGGATTCTGGGCCCTCCCAGGCCAGCTCAGGTGTCAAACCCAAAGGGTATAGAGGAAAGGGGTGGGTGGCTATGGAAGGGCCCTCTGTGCCCTCACCTTGGTCTGAAAGCAGAAGATGGTGACAGAAATGGACACCACTGCTGTGATGATCATCGCAATGATGACGGCTTTGGTTTGGTACATACTGCAGGGGGCGGGGGGCAAGAGGGGGAAGGAGGGAAGAGAGGCCGAAAGTATAAGCTATTAGAAGACTTCAGACACCACTTTCAGAAGAATCCTGCCCAGGCTCCACTTCCCAAAGATAACTGCCAGCCCAAGAATAGCCCACTCCCCTTACTTCACCCTCCCAAGAGTGTGGCAGTCTGTCCCTGAGCGTACCTGGAAATGGTGCCTGTCATGAAGCCCATGGCAAAAGTCTGAGGGAAAGAGAGAAATAAGGGCATCTCGTAAGAAGGGTAGGGCTGGGGTATAGCTCAGTGGTAAGGGCTTGCCCAGGATGCAGGCACTGGGTTCCATCTCTACCACCAAATTAAAAAAATAATAATAATAAAGCAAAAACAAAACCACACAACAGCGAGGCTCTCGGGGACAGCCTTGGTAGTCTGCTAGAGCCAGAGGTGACTCAGATGTGACTGAGCTGGAAAGAGCAGTCACTGAGACCACTAGCAGGAGGCAGGAGGCTAGGAGATATCCAGGGTCTTCCTTCCACAGTGGTGTCCCTGGCCTTATTGGGACCGCCTTCTTGCTACCCTTGTCGACTTACAAAGAGGGTCAGCAGGATGATGTTCCATGGGAACCGGCGTCTGAGGAGAAAGGGAAGCACTGGTTATGTGCCTTGAGGCAGTTGGGTCGTAGGTCCCTGGCTCCTGAGCCTGCTTGCAGGAGTAAGCCTAGCTCTTGGAGAGAGGACCTTCACATGGCTTTTGGCGCCTGCTTAGGTGTTTACACAGGGACAACATGGGACATACCTGTCCTGTGGGGCCAGAAAAACTTGGTCTTGTTTGCAGCGCTTAGACTGTCTGCCTGAAGGCTGGGAGGAAGTTGCTCAGCTCAGCCTTCCTAAGTCTTGAGTTCTTCCTACTTGGGCTTTCTTAGTTTTATTTTTGTACCCTGTACCTTCCCGCCCCTTCCTTTTTTTCCCTTATTCTCTCCTCCCCCCACTTTTTTTTTTAAACTTCTTTTCTATTTAAATAGTTAAAATGCTGCATATCCTGCAGGGTTGCTATCAATCAGACTGATAGCTAGATAGATCCCCATAATAGTACTTCCTGCTTTGTACATTAAACATTAACCACATCACCCTCAACATCCTTCTAATATTTCTTAGGAGTCCATTCAACCACTATGAGAAAACCCATTTTTCCCAAGCTTGCCCAAGCTTGGTCCCTGTTCTACCCCTTGCACCCTTCACTGCCTACGTCTGTGGGACTCACCTGGGTCCCTGGCAGCAGGCGAGGGTCAGGTAGGTGACAATGAAAACGGCACTGTGAAGATAGGAGAGAGATGAGCTGCCCTCCTCCCCTCCCAGCTAGCCTGGGCATTGCACCCAATGGCTGCTCAGAAGTCTGCAGAAAAGCTATTTAGTTGGAAGAAAAAGGACATCCTCTGTCTCTCTCCATCCCAGCCTGAGGACCCCAGCCTATACCCTTTCCACAGTCAGGGGCCCTGAGAGCTCAAATACAAGGGTTCAACCAGGAAGGAAGTTTAGGGAGCACCATGCAGTCGCCATTACGGTCTGTCCATCATCCCCCACCCTACCCTGGCATTCTGTGATCCTGCTACTCTTCATCTGGGTGTACTCCTCAGTCTAGGAACCTAGCCCCTACCATGGGGAAGGATGCTCAGAGAGCATTTTGAGCCTAGCTCTAAGCAAAGCTGGTTAGCTGGAAACCAGGACTGCCAGCCCTCCTCCTCCTCTCCCTCCTTCCTCCCCGAGCAGAGACAGCACATACTTACTAGGACACGTAGTATACTGCCACGTTCCTCCTCACAAATGCACTGACTGGCTCCCTGTGAGCAGGGGAGGATGAGAGAGACACACCATGGCTTCTCTGCCTCCAGGCCCAGGCTATGTAGGCAGCCCAGTGGGGAACCCCGAGATCCCAGGGCCGACTAGAGTAGGCAGAGGGCCCAGAGACTCACACAAAGGTGAAGATCGCAATGATGGCCACTGTGATGAGCAGCTGGACTGAGATGATGGTGTAGACCTGGAATACAGATGGCCAGGAACCTGGGTCAACCCCACTCCCACCCCATACCCTGGGCTCTCCTAGAAAGCAGCCAGCCCAAGATCAGGGGGTCCAAAGGACACAGGACTCTTGTTCTTCCCTGTGGCAGGAGGGGAGTTTTTCTTTCTGAAGGTTCTGTTCCTCTTGTGGTCACTTAAAGGTTCCTCCTCCATGGCAGCCTGGCCTAGATGTGGCCCCAGCTGGGAGTCTGGTTCACAGCCTCCATCCCCCTCCAACTGCTCCTGGTTATCTCTCTCCTGACCAGCATCCAGCCTCAGTTTTCCACTGCCTCACCCTGCCTGGCTGCCCCTGCAACTCCAGTGGTGGCTGCGCACCTTCAGTGTTCAGCACAATAGGCTGTGTGTTCTGAGCAGGGCTCCATGCAGAGGGAGCAAGGGAAGGATGGATTAGGCCTGAGAGGGATCGTTTCCAGCTCCTGGCTGCTCTCTGTCAAGCAGAACAAGGTCTGGGGAAGGCCACACACTTGGGAGGAACCCAGGTAGGAGATTTTCCAAGATTGACTCTGCCCTCCCAAAATAAGGTCAAGAATGAGAGGATGGAAAGGAGGGGGGCATTAGAGTTAGAGAAGCCAGGAACACCTGTGGAGGACAGTCCAGGACCAAGGGAAGGTGATCAGCCGATGTATTTACATGTGACTGCGACCCCAGCCCAGGACTGATACATCCAGCCCTCCCCTGTCTCTCCAGTGCAAGGGCATGGGTCCACCCATCGCCCACCATCTTACCTTTCGGATGAAGGTATGTCGTACTTTCCGGTCATCCCACTCTCCAGGCCCGAAGCTGTCACTCACAGCTCTCTCTTCCCCATCATAGCCACCAGGGCCTAGAGACAGATTACATGGGACCGACTGGAGACCTGGGACACAGGGCCTCCCTTCCATAGCCTTGCAGACCCTGCCTCATACAAAGACTCAGGTATCTTCAACCTAAAGACAAACATTACTATGCAAGAACTGCACTCCTAACCTAGATTCCCTTAGAGCAAGCCCAGCTGGCCTGGCACAAAGGGTCTTAGATGAGAGCCATCCCATCGGCGTATCTGCTAAGGATTCTGGGTGCCTCACTTAGGCAAGAGCAGAGTTGGTTGGCAGAGCAGTGGCATCTAGGATGGAGGGGCTGAAAAAAGGGAAAACTGCACATTGTAGGTGTGTGCAGGGGATACAGGGTAAGGGCTGTGGACTACAGCAGACATCCCAGGCATGCTGCATGACTCACATGTGAGGGCTGTCTTACACCTGCATCAGAACACCTGTCCAGGTGAGAACTGCCACACACTGACTCCATGATGCTAGAGCTGCTACAGGCCTCCCACATCTCTTGGTTGCCTCTTTGGGAACTGCCTGCAGAATCTACCCAGAATGCAGCTCAGAGGTGAAGCATGTGTTTAACATGTACAATACTGGGCTCAATTCAAATGCAAAAAAATAGAAAATTAAAAAACACCGGGCTCGGGGCTAGGAAGGTGGCTCAGTGGTAGAGCGCTTGCTTGCCTTGTATGCATGAGGCCCTGGGTTTGATTCCTCAGAACCACATAAGCAGAAGAAGAAAAAAAGCTGGAAGTGGTGCTGTGGCTCAAGTGGTAGAGCGCTAGCCTTGAGCTGAAGAGCTGAGGGACAGTGCCCAGACCCAGAGTTCAGGCCCCATGACTGGACCCAAAAAAAAAAAAATACCAGGCTCAAGGCATGGCTCAAGTAGTAGAGTACCTGCCTAGCAAGTGTGAAGGTTTGAACTCAAACCCAAGTAGTTACAAAATAAAAATTTCCCCAAGAGAAGAGCATCACTACATCCTAGTCTCACCTGAGATACCCTGATATATGCCAAAGGTAGTTCTAAATGACTTGGGATAGTTGCAAAACTCAGACTCTACTTCATAGAAGAGGATGCATCCAACCCCAGGACTTTTTTTTTTTTTTTGGGTCCAGTTGTGGGGCCTGAACTCTGGGCCTGGGCGCTGTCCCTCAGCTCTTCAGCTCAAGGCTAGCACTCTACCACGTGAGCCACAGCACCATTTCGGCATTTTCTGCTTATGTGGTACTGAGGAATCAAACCCAGGGCCTCATGCATTGCAAGGCAAGCGCTCTACCACTGAGCCACCTTCCCAGCCCCCCCAGGACTTTTTATAAAACCAACATTTAGGGGTACAGAAAGAGTTCCTAAGGAAGACATGGCAGGATGACAGGGGACTTGTTGAGAAATATTTACTTAGGTATCCATTTAGACACCATTACTCCATCCAACTTCTTCCCTGAGGCCATGTCTTATGGCCTCAGTCTCCTTGCTCAATACTGGGGAAGCCAGGAGAGAGAAGTAGAAGGCGAGGGAGACAGGAAAGGAAGGAGATCTAAACCAAGATGAGAAGAAAGGGACCAAAGGGGAAGATGAGAAGGAGACTGAAAGGAAGTGACATCATCAGCCCTAAGCACTGCGTCCTTCCCCTCACCTTCTCCTACCTTCTAGCACTCACCATAGTTCATGGGCATCGGGTGCATGGGAGGCATTGGCTGTGGGTAGCCAGCAGGGTGACCGTAGCCAGGCTGTGGGTAGGCAGGGTAGGCAGGGTATCCGCCTGGCAGAACAGATGGTTGTCCATACCCTCCAGGGGGTGGAGGGCCAGGATACAGAGGGTTGCGGTCCTCATATGGAGGCGGGGCGGTGGGGTTAGACATGGCCACTCAAGAGATGAGGGAAACCCCAGCTGTTAGGAGCTGCAAGGGAAAGCAAAGCCGTCAGGAGTGTGCCGTGTCTCACCCTGTCCCCTTCCAGGAAGTCTACCAAGAAGAGAGAGACTCTGTTCCTAGATCATACATGTCACTTACTGCCTGAAGGCCACCCCCAACACCTAACCCCTGGCCCTCCTACCTTTAGACTGTTTCCCCCCAGAGTCCTCCCTTCCCTGTGAAACTTCTGGCCACAGGAGAGAGGGAGGATTCCTTAGATGAACAGAACTGTAGCTAAGCATCAGTGGTGTGCCAGGCAAGAAAAAGGGTCACCCCACAACTCCCTGAACTCAGTTATGAAAACCTTTGGGTGTTGGTGGTTTCACAACAGAACCAGGGAAGAAACAGGGAAATGGCTAGATGGTCCAAGCAGAGTCACCTAATGAGGGCCAGGGTTAGCAAGGACCCTCTGGAGGGTCAGCCCAGCCCCCACAGCAGCTGGCTGAAGTGCCAAGCCAGAGAGAGTCAGAGCTGGAGTGGAGCCAAGACTCAAATTGGAGAGCAGGGAGGAAGAAGAGGAAAACAAGCCAGCCATGCCAAAGCTGCCAGGCCCCAGGAGGAGAGGCCCTCCCAGGCCCTGGCCAGGGCAGGCTGAGCTGGAAACTGGAGGCCCTGCAAAAGTGCAGGCCTGAGACAGGACTTTGTGTTTCCCTTAGACAACTGCTGCAGCTTGGCAGATAGTCAGCGGTGGCCTGTGGCCCACGCTCTGTACCCTGGCCTTCCCAGGGCCCCGACAGCCCTCACTGAGGGCATCTCTGGAGTCTCCTCTGGGGCAGTGACTGGTCAGGAGGAGAGTAAGCTGTAAGAGGCTGTAAGACAAGGAAGGACCTTTGCAGCAAAGAGAGCCCTGTGTGGAAGGCCTGAGTGGCAGGTGGAAGGGACCTTCAAGTTGAACAACCCTGAATGCTCACTTCAGGTGAGAGTTAAAAGCCAGGATCAGGGGACCACACAACTAACAGGTTAGTAGCACAAACAGAATGAAACTCTTTGGGATTCTGGGCACTTGTCCTTCCTGGTAGTCTGTTCTCCTTAGGCCTCCTCTCTGACAAAGACATGTCCCCTAACATGGTGTCCCCATGTGAGGTGGCATTTAGTGTCTGGACAGAGCTAAGGAGAATATCCTCCTATCCTGAATAGGAGAAACCTTTCCAGAGTCTGCATCCCTTGACAGGACACCCCAGCCCCCAGCATCACCCAGAGCAGATCTTGAGGACCCACAAGGAGGACACCCCAGATTGAGGTCAGCAACCATCCTCAGAGCACTGCTGGAAGCAGGAGCATCTAGCCTCTCTTTTCAGGACACCCAGTGTAGTTCAGGGATTAGATAAAGGCCTGTCTTCTGTCTTCTCTCAGGACAACTCGGGTGATTCAGAGTGGGAGGTGGCAAGGATTGAATAGCAGGCCAGGTCTCTGGACGGTTTATTTGGAGGAAAGCTCTCTCCATCTCCCCAGAGCAGATGGGACAGAACGAGAGCAAGACTGCATCAGGTGAAGGAGAAGAAAGCCTTCCTGACAGGCAAACCAGGAGAGCCTGTGGGGCCACGGTACAGCAGTGTGGCCCCCCCAGCTACTAGCTTGGGAAATGGCCATGGCCATGGAAAGGCAGAAAGACCATCACAAGTAATTGTAACTTGTGGCGCCTCTGAAGAGGAGAAAAGAAAGGAAGAGAAATTGTGCCTCTCTCTTCCCCTGGAGCGAAAGGTTCCACACCAAACCATGATGTAACCATTACCTGGTAACATTTGCCCTTTGTAGACCATGTCCCTCCCTCTTCCAAGACTGATGAGGAAATGTGACTCACAGAGAGTAGGATCAGCCTGGGATGGGGCTCCAGGGTCCAGTTGAACTCAGCAGGCTGCTGATTCACTGGCCTTCACTGGCCTCCCTCCTTCACTCCCTGGCCCCGCCCTGTGACATTTCTGGTTTCAGAGCTCATCAGTCAGTAGACCTGCTTGCTGGGACACGCAGGCCCCAGTCCACTTCCTTAATGAGTCAGTCACCAGCCCGACCACACCAGAGACCACCACTGAATACCCCACCCAACCATGCCTGGGTGTCTTCACCTACAAAATGAGCTTGACACTAGTCACTGCAACCCACCCTCCCCCCAGAGTTGTAATTATGAAAGAGAAAATACACACAGAGCACTCAGAATGATGCCTGACTCCAGGCGCATTTTGGCAGCAGTCAGTAAGGACGTCATTAAATCCTCACATGGCTCAGCAGGGTAAATAGTTGTTATTGTCCCCACTCACAAAGAAAGACAGAGACTTGGAAGAATGAAGTCTTGTGGCCAGGGATACCTGACTAGGGTGGAAGAAGAGACTTGGGGTCCCACCACTGACTGTGGATCCTCTCTGAGTCCCTCTACTTCAGTCTCTCATTGATCCATGCTGTCTACCTGAACTTCCCATCCCTGTTACCATGGCTTCCAGTTTAGACACAGATGATGACTGGCAGGTGTATGCAAGACCAGAGTGCACATCACCCTGTCAGTCCCTGAAGAGTGGGCTCCATTCCCATCTGTGGACCTGAGGTCCAGAGACAAGAGAGCACTCGCTTACCTCAGGCCAAGCTAACTCTACCTTTTCCTACTCAATAGCTACAGGACATGGGGTGGTGACCCATCCTTGTAATAGAGCTGGTCCCAGGGCCAGGACACAATCTGAGCTACCTGGTCTTTGGTGCAGGTGGGGAAACCCCTCACGTTAGTGCCAGTCGTGAGGGTGCCAACTTCTACCACACCCCTCTGAGCCATGCCAAAATTCAACACTGTCGGACCAGCAGGAGTGGCAGCTTCTGCACCTGCCCCAGCTTCCACCAGGCCTACAAGAGGGGCCTCCCACGTCACACCTCTGCTCAGGCTGAGGGTTAGAGTTGGCATGGTCCAGAGAGGAGGGGAAGGGAAGGGACCAACTATTTTCCTAGCCATACCTAGACATCAGAGCTGAAGAACAACAGTGGAGAATGCGAAGTCTGGAAAAGGAGACAGGAAAACAGAATATGAGCCGTAAGCCTAGAAATCAGGTCCTCTGGGTTCTCCTGGTGGCTGTGAGGGCCTGCGAGGCACCCAATGGAAGCCTACATTTTCTGAGGCATTAAGCCTCTACTTGGAACAAATGCCTACAAGCAGTTGGAATCATTACAAGGTTGAGTTCAGGCTCTGCCCTGTCCTGGCAGTTACACATCTCAGTTTGTTCCCCTCTCCCCAGCAGTAGAAGTGGGTGGATTCTGGGCCCAAATAGCAGGACTTACTGGTGGACAGAGTTTTTACATGCAGAGCTGGGGGAGCAGCTCCTCCCCCCCAGGTACCTCAGTAGGGTGACCCTGCAGGTCTAGCCTGCTGAGGTCAGGCTCCCTCTGGTTCTCCAGACATGTGTGAAGGGTTAAGACTCTGGAATCTGTAGAGAAGAGGAGGAGCTACTGGGATTACAGCAAGAGGGTGTGTGTGCTGGGACTTGGGGGGGTGGGGAGGAAGAAGTGGAGAGGACAGAAAGAAGCAGCTGACTGGTCCAGGCAGCCTGCCCTCCTGCCTGCCAGGAACCGATGCCCAGAGCAGAATGGAAAGAATAGCTCAAAGTGTGCATCGCAGGAAGCCCCACCCAGCAGGCTCAGCAACACACCCGACCCACTGTGCCCAGGTCCCCAGGACTAGCTCTTTCCCTCCCTTTTCCTCCCCCACTGCACAGCCACAGGAGCAGAGGAATTAAAGACACACTCTGCAGTGTCTAGGCCCGCCTGGACCAAGGGGCTCAGAATGTACTCTATACCCTTTGGTTGGCCTGTCTGGAATTAAGAAATGAAATTAAGCAGGCCTAAAAGCTGAAATACAAATGATAAATGCTGGGAATATGGCTTAGTGGTTACAGTGCTTGCCTCGCATGCATGAAGTCCTGGGTTCGATTCCTCAGCACCACATACACAGAAAAAGCCGGAAGTGGTGCTGTGGCTCAAGTGATACAATGTTAGCCTTGAGGCAGGGTCCAGACCCTGAGTTCAAGCTCAGGACTGGAAAAAAAAAAAAAAAGAGCTGGATGGACTTGAGAGATCATCTGGTCATTTGACAGACCAGGAAGCCTCAAAGCTGAGAAAGTTCCTGTTCCAGCCCACAACAGTACTTCTTGGTCAGGGGTTTGGAAATTCCTTCTCAGTTCTGCCCACTGTCTGGGAATTCAAAAGGACAGAACACACACACACACACACACACACACACACACACACACACACACACACACACACACACACACACACACACACACACACACACACACACACACACACACACACACACACACACACACACACACACACACACACACACACACACACACACACACACACACACGACAGAACAAGTGCGCATGCGCGCACACCCCCACACACACGCGCGCACACCCCTCTGGAAAGAGACCGGAAGAAGCCTATCCCCCAGTTTCCTCATAATCTCTACTTCAGGATGCCAACCTGTTACTTCCCTCCCCAGCTCTGTCACCCTCCAGACCCAGTCTCTTGCCAGGTGGCCTCTCTCCAGACCCACAGAGGGCTGGCTCCAGTCTCCAAGGGAGATAAGTCACTCCCGGAAGCATGACTGCTCCCCCAGGCCTCTGGGGGCAAAGACCCCAGCAATGTCAACACTCAGATAAGAAAAAAGGAAACCATTTGCAAGGCAGGTACCACCTCTGGCACACAGCCCCTAACACCTCCTTTATGTTTAACTTTCCTGCCTTTCAACTGAACTTCCAGGTTGGAAGGGGAGAGTGGCAGAGGAATGAGACGGATAATGAACCCACAGTGGAGAACCACAAGTAGGCAGGGATGGCGGAGAAGCACTTACCAGTATGGACTTACTAAGCAACTATGTCAGTAGCAACTAAGACACTTCTGAAGCTCACAGAAGATCCCATTCCATCATTGAGAAAACTGACATTCAAACGAGAAGCATTTCTAAGACCCACAGCAGGCAGGCAATGTGGATGGGTTTAAACAAAGCTGAGGCTTTCTTTGAAGTTCACAGCCTGTGCTTTTACACTGCCTGGAGCAGAAGCACAGGGCCCAGGGTGAGCCAGTGGAAAACAAAAAGGCCAGGAAGAAACTGAGCGAGTGTGTTGTTGAGATCTACTCTATACCCTAAGGAAGTATCTGATGCTTGGGCATGGGTTTAGGAAGAAGGGACCAATTCCTGTCTTGGCTTTAGTACTGACTCCAGTGAATGAGTCAAGGTAGTCAGCTTTACATCTCCTGACGTAATTTTTACATCTCTTTTTTTTTTTTTTTGGTCACGAGGCTTGAACTCTGGGCTTGGGTGCTCGCTGTCCCTGAGCTCTTCAGCTCAAGGTGAGCACTCTACCACTTGAGCCACAGTGCCACTTCCAGGTTTCTGGTGGTTAACTGGAGATAAGAGTCTCATGGGACTTTCCTGCACGGGCAGGCTTTGAACCATGATCCTCAGATCTCAGCCTCCTGAGTAGCTAGGATTACAGGCATGAGCTACCACGGCCCAGCTAATGATCTTTAAGATGAGTATCCTCCCCTCTGAATGATGGAAGTCCACTCCACCCTACCAGTTTGGCTCTCAATAAATAGTAGCTGCATGACCTGCACCCTAAGGACACAGTGGGAACACACTACTGACTGGACAAGCATATACCACATTCTTGGTATGGCTGGTACCATAACTCTCCTCCCAAGCTCCTTCCATAATGCTGTGAAGGTACTCTGGCCAGCCTCTGATGCTCAATCCCCCACAGCCTGGAGGGATAGCCTAATGTGGTAGAGAAGAGGAAAGGGCAGGGCTTAAGAGGCTAGGTTCCTGTGATAGCTGGTCTACATGCAATGGAAGAGCAGAAACTAATTTACCAGAGACTGCAGAACTCACTGGCCAGGCAGTTCCCTGAAGATATTAGTGAATAAGTGTGCAAATAGAAAGCATCTATATCCTCTTACTGGAAGTTCACAAGTCACAATGATATATTAAAAGTCCTAGGGGTTTTGGGGTTTGTTTGTTTGTTTGTTTTTGACAGTCCTGGGGCTTGAGCTCTTTTTGCTCAAGACTATCTCTCTTGAGTCTTCCGGCTTTTTCTCAGTATTTATTGGAGATTAGAATCTCACAGACTTTCCTGCCTGGACTTGCTTCAACCCATGATTCTCAGATCTCAGTCTCCTGAATAGCTAAGATTACAGGCGTGAGCCACTGGTGCCCAGTAAAATGTTTGGATTTTTTTCTTTTTTCCTTCAGTTGGTCCTGGGGCTTGAACTGAGGGCGCCTGGGTGCTATCTCTGAGCTCTTTTTGCTCAAGGCTAGCACTCTACCACTTGAGCCACAGCTCCACTTCTGGCTTTGTTTTTGAGTAGTTAATTGAAGATAAATGTCTCCCGGACTTTCCTGCCCGGGCTGGCTTTGAATCCTCATATGCCAGCTTCCTGAGTAGCTAGGATAACAGGTGTGAGCCACCAACACTTGGCTCAGAAAGTCCTGTTCTAACCACCTTTTTTTTTTTTTTTTTTGTCGGTCGTGGGGCCTGAACTGGGCCTGGGCGCTGTCCCTGAGCTCTTCAGCTATAGACTAGCACTCTACCACTTGAGCCTCAGTCCCACTTCCAGCTTTTTCTGCTTATGTGGTGCTGAGGAATCGAACCCAGAGCCTCATGCATGCAAGGCAAGCACTCTACCACTGAGCCACCTTCCCAGCCCCTCTAACCACCTTTTCAGCATTCCTCCAGCCTGAAACCTTCACCCAGGGACACATATTCATAGCCTGTGTGCTGCTGTCCAGGCCACCTGTACTTTACAGATGGACCTTACTCAGAAAAAAATTCCATGTCCTAATTCCTCACATGCTTCTACCCAGCCTGCCTCTGAGAACAACTTCACTAGGAAGCAGGCCTGCACCCTCACTCATTCTGGAGGAGTCAGCTACACAATCCGCTGGCAGCTCCCCACTCCACCCCAGTTCCTGTGGCTACGGTAACTTCCACAGGTGACTCACTGCCACGGTACGGAGGAAATCTCCAGTAGCAGAGTCAGGAAGCAGCTCCAAACACTGCCATTACGGACTGGGAAAAGGACAGGTCAGTCTAAGAGAGAGGACTCAAACCTTCCTCCATGACCAACATATGGAATGTCCCCCAGCCGCTGTAGACTTCTAGCTGTCATTCCTCCTTCAAAACAAAAGCCAGGACTTGGCCTAGAATCTGAGCTTGGAAGTGGTTAGTTCCTCCCAGGAGAACCTGAAGGGCCATATCGTGTTAGCCATGTTGGTAGAACTTTTCAGAGAGGTGTCTGAGTTCCCATACTCTGATCATTCCAGTGTGGCACTCAAAAGACCCATCAGAATATGAATCCCTTTGCTGTGGCTCCCGCTCTTTTGTTGTTGTGTTTAGGTAGAGGTTAAAAACAAAACAACAAAACAAACAAAACCTGTAGCTCTACAATCCAGGCCTGCATGAAGTTCACCTGGAACTCTCCATCCTCCTCCATTACCTTCTGGAGTGCTAGGACTATAGGTGTATACCACTAGGCTCAGCAATTCTCCTTCCAAAGGGCCTAGGATGAGAAGTTCAGGGGTTGGAGGTGCTCAGAGATAGACAGCTTCTGTCTGCAGAGGGAGGAGGCTTGGCTGAGGTGGCTATTACCCCAGCTCATGACAGGAGGTTCTCCTAACGCACAGAGCACCCATCATTACCTCTCTGACGTGTTCATTTTTACAAGTGAGGCCCTAAAGTCATGCCACAAGAAGACAGAGGATGTCAAGGCGTTTGACAGTGTTCACACCCCTTCCTATAAGCCTGTATAAACTGAGTGGGCTTCAGGACTGGAGAGACAGGGAGAGCAGGTAGGTGAGGAATAAGTATTGGCTCCCACTTTGATGTAGACAAAGCAGCCCCAGTTGGCTCCCCCTGCCTCCACTAGCCAGGCCAAAGGCACCAGCTTTGAAACCAAAGCTCATCCGCAGGATGAATATTTCAGAGCCCCAGAGAACCAGACACCTGACGGGCCTTCCATGACACGAGGCTCTGTCCCTAGCTCCCAGCCTTCCCCACTCCTCCCTCACCCCGTGTCCAGGGTGCCCAGGTCAAGCCCCAGCCATGGACAGGGACCACAGTGGGGTGGCTGGGGATGGAGCCCCGGCAGAACTCCAGCTGATGGAGAACCTTCCTCTTTCCCCAGCTCCGTTCCTGTGCTTTCCCCGCGTACTTTCTCCATTTCCGTATTTCATTCTCACTGACCTGAAGAGGTCATGAGGAGAGTGGCCCTTCCCAGAAGCTGGCGAACCCGGCCCAGGGGCTGGAAGGTGGGCAGCCGAGGGCCTCCACCCCTTCCCCCGCCACTTAGCCACGCATCCACCTGTCTACACCCAGACAGCAACGTGGGGCAGGTGCCGGGCTCCGAGGTCCCACTCACAGCTGGCCCCACCGGGGCTGGCGTGGTGGACGCGCCCTGCGGCAGACAGCCACGCGTGCCGGGGGCCATCCCCAGGCCCTGGCCAGCTCTCCCGGGGCCCCAGTGCGCTGCCCGGCCCCGGGAAGGCAAAGCGCCCGCGGCCCGGGCGGAGGGTCGCTCTGCCGGCCCACAGATCCCGGTTCGGGATCCCAGGGCCCAACAGGCCCGCCCCAAGCCAGCTCCGGAAGAGGCCGGCCGCCGGCCCACAAAGTTTGCGCGCCCCGGTGCCGGGCCGCCCCGGCTCGGTCCCCGCCGGTCCCCAGGGACCTCCTCCGCCACCCCGGCCCCCGGCTTGCCTGCGTGGTTCCCGGCGGTGCGGTGCGGCGCGGCGCGGCGCGGTGCGGGGCGCGGGTGCGCTCGGGCCTCAGAGTCCTGCCGGGACAGGGCTGGGCTGGGCTGGGGATCCGCGCCCCGCCTCGTCGCCAGCCAGCCTCTGGGGGCGGGGCCTCGGAGCGCCGCCAGGGGGCGCCGGGGTCCCCAGTGACCCGCCCCGCCACACCCCACCCGAGAACTTGAGCCCCAGAACTTTGTCCCCTTGGCAGGAATAATGCTTTGCTCGTGGATGGAGAGTGACACAGCAAGGAAGAAAACTTCCCGGGCAGGGAAGGTGGCTCAGTGGTAGAGTGCTTGCCGAGCATGCGTGAAGCCCTGGGTTCGACTCCTCAGCACCACATAAGCAGTGTGTACAAGCTGCTTTCTAGTTTTCTTTGTGTGTGTGGTTAAGTGATTACATAAATTTTACAAATTTCACATTGTGAGAAAGTGATACTTAAAGTCACAAACACATTCTACCTCCATGGGGCAAATTGTCTTTACTGTGGTCTATAAGGTTTGTGAATTCTATGAACTTTGACAGTACAGTTATTTCTTCCACATCAGGTGATATGTACATTTCTTTCCTTTTCTGGTTTATTTTTTTGTTTATGTGGTATGAAGGAATCGAACCCAGGGCCTCATGCATGCTAGGCAAGTATGCTGTCACCATATTCCCAGTTTTTGTTTTTTTTTTTCCCGTTTGAGACAAGGTCTTGCAATGTAGGACAGGCTGGCCTGGAACTCCATACTCTCCTGCCTCAGCCTTTTTAATCATGAACATTTTTCTTTTTTTTTTTTTTTTTTTGGGGGGGGGGGGTCCAGTCGTGGGCCTGAACTCTGGGCCTGGGCGCTGTCCCTCAGCTCTTCAGCTCAAGGCTAGCGCTCTACCACTTGAGCCACAGGGCCATTTCCGGCTTTTTTCTTTTTTGCTTATGTGGTGCTGAGGAATCGAACCCAGGGCCTCATGCACTGCAAGGCAAGCGCTCTACCACTGAGCCACCTTCCCAGCCCCAATCATGAACATTTTTCATCACTCACCACTTTGAAGATGAGAGTGTGCCTTCATCAGCCCAGTGGTAGAGAGCTTGCCCAGCATGTGTGAGGCCCTGGGTCTGATCTCAGCACAGCCACAACAAAGGGAGTTAATGCAGCAAGTGAATATGATAATTTTAAAATCAATTTCATCCTAGAGGACATTTGTTCCCCATTTTTACATTATTATAAATTAATATGTGATGAACATCATTAATAACTCCATATTTTTAAGATGGATATATTTTTCAAATTTAAAACTTCAAGTATGCAAACAGACATGGGAACTAGAATCTCTATTTAGAATTAGTCATGAGTGACTTAACAATGGGAACACATTAGGTTAGGAGATTTCAGCCCTGTGCATATCTCAGAGTGCACACACACAAGCTGAGATGGCCACCAAGCCACTGAGCAGTTATTATATCTTGCATTGAAATGTAGATCAGTAGTTCACACTACTAATTCTAGCTATTCAGGAGGGTGAGATTTGAAGATACCCAGTTCAAAGCCAGCCCAGGCAGACAAATCTTTGAGACTTTTTTTAACTAATTAACAAACGCCAGACTGGAGGTATTGCCCACGTGGTAGAGAGCCAGCCATGAGAAAGCATGAGGCAGGCTGGGAATGTAGCTTAGCGGTAGAGTGCTTGCCTAGCATACATGAAGCACTGGGTTTGATTCCTCAGTACCACATAAACAGAAGTGACGCTGTGGCTCGAGTGGTCAAGTCCTAGCCTTGAGCAAAAGAAGCTCTGAGATAGAGCCCAGGCCCTGAATTTAAGGCCCAGGACTGGTGAGAGAGAGAGAAAGGGGGTAGGGAGGGGGAGGCACTCTTACAAAGCATTGAGTTCACACCCCAGTACCAGCACAGAAAGCAAGAGAGAGAAGAGAAGAGGAGAAAAGGAAAAGAAATGTCTATTAGTACATACAACTTGGAGCTAGGGAGAAGACAGGTGTAGTGGTGCAGGCCTGTGATCCCAGCTGAAGCTGAGTCATAAGGACAGAGTGTTCAAGACCAGCCTGAGCTATATAGTAAGATCATGTCCCAAGAGATAGAGAAAAAGAGATGAGAGAGGAAGAGAGAAAGGAAGAAAGGAAGGAAGGAAAAGAGAAAGAAAGAAAGAAAAGAAAGAAAGAAAGAGGGCTGGGAAGGTGGCTCAGTGGTAGAGCACTTGCCTTGTATGCATGAAGCCCTGGGTTCGATTCCTCAGCACCACATAAGCAAAAAAAAAAAAAAAAAGCCGGAAGTGGCGCTGTGGCTCAAGTGGTAGAGCGCTAGCCTTGAGCTGAAGAGCTGAGGGACAGCGCCCAGGCCCAGAGTTCAGGCCCCACGATTTGACCCCCCCCCAAAAAAAAAAGAAAGAAAGAAAGAAAGAGAGTAGCAAGAGAACTTAGGGGCAGAGAATGTAACTTAGTGGTAGAGCTCTTGCCTGGCCTGTATAAGACCTTGGATTCCCAGTGCTGTCAGGAAAACATTTCACTTTAAGATGCTCACCCATGGGCTGGGAAGGTGGCTCAGTGGTAGAGCGCTTGCCTTGCATGCTCGAGGCCCTGGGTTCAATTCCTCAGCACCACATAAGCAAAAAGAAAAAAGCCGGAAGTGGCACTGTGGCTCAAGTGGTAGAGTGCTAGCCTTGAGCTGAAGAGCTGAGGGACAGCGCCCAGGCCCAGAGTTCAGGCCCATGACCGGACCCAAAAATAAATAAATAAATAAAAGATGCTCACCCAGACCCACACACCAGCGATCCCAAAGGATCTTTTGAGCTGAAGTCAGGTGCCTGAGTCACAAAGACTGGCAGGGGAGGCTTTGGAAGCTGTAGAACTCTCACCATCTTCTGGATAAACAATAAACAAATAATTCTCTGTGTAACATAGCCCCATCCTATCAGCAAATACTTACACTAAAAACTGTGCATTGTTTCTCAGCAATTCAAAGTCTGGGTGTCTGGTATTTCTCTAACCTACTCCCCCTGGAGGAAAGTCAAGTCTATGGACTGGGGATGGGGTACGGGAGGGAAGGAATGGCTGAAGTTTATTTTAGGAATTCAGAAGCTAAAGCCCTGGGGAAGGTGAGAAAGGGTAGACCTAAGGAAGCTGGAGGGAGTAAGTTAGAAAAATTAATGAGAGTGTGTGATCCAGACTTTCTCTGCTATTCTTCCCGCAAGCTCAGGACTCCACAGACTTCTCCCACAGCAGCCTAATTACCTAGTATTCCTAGACTTCTCTACCCAGGCAGGGTTAAAAAAAAAAGTCCCATTTATCTGTAGGCCTCAACACCTCCTGGTCTGAACTGCATACTCTCTCCGGTGGGGTGGGAAGGCTGCAAGGCGTGAATGACTGATGGGACAGGGGTTGCTGACATTTTCCCTTACATACTAGCCTTACTGTTCATAAATGCAATAGAATAAAAAGAATGTTGAGTTGGGGGGGCAGGGGACCCCAGGAATAGGATCGTGTCCCAGCCTGGGGTCTAACTCTTCATTTACAAATGAGTCCCCCATGATTTCTACCTCCCGGGACTCCAAGCCTTAGATGAAATCATCCACAAGAAAGGCTTCACTAACGACTATGCAGTCATGCGGAATGGCTCAGACACCTTCCCGGAACCAGAAGTGGGTAACACTGGGTGGTGTGAGGAAGCGTGGACGCACAGGACCAGTCAACCTGTCACCCTCCAAGGTGCAGCTGGGACAAGGAGGTGTTTTCCATAGGCTCCCCCCTTTGGCCCCCCCCTCCCACAGTCAGAGTGAGCTAGGGTGCATGGGAAAACGTGGAAATCCCTTTGGGGATTACCTCCCTGCAAAACGCCCTCCCTGGGAACCCAAATCTTAGACATGTAAGCTAAGGTCAGCACTAGCCAGCTCTGGGCCTGAATCCAAGTTCAAATCACTTGGGGCTATTTGACCTTGGGGAAATAATTTAACTACACTGAGCCTTGGAGGCCTTATCTATAAAAAGGGAAAGTAATAATTAGGGATGATTGTAGGGATTAAAAATAGCAGTTGTTGCCAGGCGCTGTTGGCTTTCACCTATATTCCTAGCTACTCAAGAAGCTGAAACATGAAGATCTGCAGTTTGAAGCCATCCAAGGCAGTCCATGAAACTCTTTTTGTTGGTGGTGGTGGTGCTGGTCACAGGGCTTGAACTCTGGGCCTGGCTGCTGTCCCTCAGTTCTTCAGCTCAAGGCTAGCACTCTACCACTTGAGACACAGTGCCACTTCTGGTTTTCTGAGTGGTTTATTGGAGATAAGAGTCTTACACGGACTTTTCCTGCTCCAGCTGACTTTGAACCATGATCCTCAGACCTGAGCCTCCTGAGTAGCTAGGATGACAAGCGTGAGCCACTAGCGCCCAACTCCATGAGACTCTTATCTCCAGTTAACCACCAAAAAAGCCAGAAGTAGAGCTGTGGCACTAGTGGGAGAGTGCTTGCCTTGAGCAAATAAGCTCAGGGACAGTGCTCAAGCCCCAAGTTCAAGGCCCAGGACCTGCACAAACAATAATAATGCCAATAACAGCAGTTGTCATGTGTTTACTGCAGAGTTCAAATGGGTCTTTGTTATGGTTTCAGAGCGTGATTCATTGATAAACACAGCCTCTGGTTTGGAAAGACTAATTGGGACCTGATGGGTGAATTCCCAAGTCCTGGCTTCTCAGCTAGACCACTGTTACTGCACTTTGGCCTCCTGGGCCAGCTAGGCTGTTGGTTGCTTTCAGATTTTTTTCCCACTGTTTTTTGCTTTGTATTTTTAAAAATTGTTATTATAAAGGTGATGTACAGAGGGGCTACTGTTTCATATGTCAGATAATGAGTACATTTCTTTTGGACAATGTCACCCTTTCCTTCACTCCAGTTTTTCCCTTCCATTCCACCCATAAGTTGTATAGTTCATTTCTTTCTTGTTTAGTGAGTACCTCTGCTGCATTTGTTCACCTTTTGTCCCTCCATTTCTGTGCTGTCCTTCCTTGCCTCTCCAAACAGAGAAAAGAACAAACAAGACAAATAGAAAAGAAAACAAAAACAAAGGGAAAAAAA